CCAGCGCCGAGCCTCTTTTTTTTTTTTTTTAAACGTAAGTCTCATTCTGTCACCCTGAGTAGAGTTTGTCATCATAGCTCATGGCAACCTCAAACTCCAGGGCTTAAGCAATCCTCTTGCCTCAGCCACCCAAGTAGCTGGAACTATAGGTGCATACCATGATACCTGGTTAGTTTTTCTATGTTTAGTCAAGATAGGTCTCACTCTTGCTCAGGCTGGTCTCGAACTAAAGAAGCCATTATCTTAACTGGGCAAAAGTTTTATGGTCCTAGTTTCACCACTTTATACCTTTGTGCCCTGAGAAAGTCATGTAAGTGTCCACACCTCCATTTCCTCGTGTGTGAAACATGAATGAATTTGGATTAGGATGTCCACTCACACAGTAGGGCTTAGGTCGATCCGCCTGAAAGAGTACATACAAATGGTTCTGAGAACAAGAGCAGCATGTGTCCAGCTTCTGCTGAATTCATTACATCTGCTGAATTTCCCCACCTTATTTTCAGCTTAGGCAAGCTAAAGATACCTTAGGCATTTGGCCAGTCATTTCCAAGAACTTGCTTCAGTCCAAGCGGCAAGAAGATCAGCAAGAAAAGGATAACCCCCTATAGGAGAGTTCAAGATCATAGTCTGCAAGCTTGCAGGACTCAAATCAAGCAATCCATAGAGAGATTTCTGACAGAGGAAGGGGTTGGAGAGTCAAGTCCTTTCCATTTCCCCTCATAATATTATGTCTGGCCAGAGGACAGAGAATAGACATGAGCTAGACAAGAATAGCTCAGTTAGCTAATCTGTCCAAACTAGCGACAACCTCTTCTCTACTGACCTTTCTCCTACTTTGGCCCACGTTTTTCCCAAGGTCATTTGAGACCACAAAGCTAGAAATAAATTCTTCTAGTTTCCTGATATCATCTCAAAAAGGCCTTTTCCTTATCCCCAGTAGGCTTTACTTTTTGGCCGTGGCTGGGTTTGAACCCACCACCTTTAGACATATAGGGCTGGCACCCTACTCCTTAAGCAACAGGTGCCACCACCTCCCCAGTAGGCTTTAATTTGTCTTTTTATATATAAGAGGAAAGGAAGGTTCCCCTACAACCCTAATGAGAGTCACTGGGAAGATACTGATCCAACCCTAATTGCAAGACCTCAGAGCCTAGGTGCTATCACCTTGGATACCCAAGACATTGGAGAAGGAATCTAGAGATTCCTCAGAACTGATCCTGACTGATGCAGGGAGGGGATAGGTCCCACATCAGAGTCTGGAACTACTTTTCATGTTCAAACTGCCCCTCCTCCTAAGATTCTCAACCTTGGGTTATACTCCCAGCCCCTCCCTCAATGATCCCCATCCTGTGGTTCCATTTCTCTTTGTGTAAGTAGAAAAAGGGGAAAAACATTCAAACCCTGCTTCAAACATTTTATTACACCAGGGCAAATTTGATAGTACTAGAATAGGAAAGAGTTAGACCAATCTTTGTCTTACCAAGAAAGGAGGAAGAAAGAAACCCACTTAAGTTCAGATAAAGATTTGAGGTCTTTCATGTCTTAGGGAGAATGGGTAAAGTCCCATTTGGACAGAGAAAGAAGCTCTGGTACCTCGCCTTATGCTCTGGTATGACCAGAGATGTAGCCATTTGGGAGAGGAAACAGAAAATGCTGATCAGCCCTTTTCTTAAGTCTTCCATTTCCTTTCCCCAGCCTCTTTCCTGGAGCCTACACAATCTTTCCCGTCTGACCATAGTTGGCTGCCCTTGGCCCTTCACCTTTCCCTTACTTGGCCTGGCTCCTTTTTTAAGCCTTGCTTTCCATGCTGAACCACCAGTCTAACACCTGCCCAGAGATATCAGGGATCCCTATAAACATCTCAGGAGCAGCACTGGGCCAGGCCAGGAGGGGCA